AATACTGCAAGACTTATCGTCCTATGAAATATGCGGCAGGTTGATTACCATCTTAAAAGATTACCTGTCTGAAAGGAAGTTTCGTGTAAGAATAGGCAGTGTGTTATCCCGCACACTTCTTCAAGAAAACAGAGTGCTGCAGGGCGGAGTATTGAGCTGCACCCTTTTTATAGTTAAAATTAACTCTCTTCGTTCTGTTATTCCTCTTGCGATATTGTATGCGAACGCCAGATACAATTAGGTGTTAACTGCCTTGCAAAATGGGCTGATGAGAATGGTTTTAAGTTCAACGCTGACAAGACCACTGGTGTGCTTTTCTCCAGATGAAGAGGTTTACATCCTGACCCCGGCATACTAATGAATGGACAAAATTTAGTCATCGCGAAAGAACAAAAATTCCTCGCGGTAATTTTTAATTTCAAACTCACCCTCATCCAGCACATGAAACAGCTGAAGTTAAAATGTCTCAAGACCACGAACCTTTTAAAGATTTTATCGCATCAGTCATGGGCACGGACAGTCACTGTTTCACATCTGTGTTTAGAAGCCTGGTTTTGTCACGCATAGACTATGGATGCATAGTATATCAGTCAGCTACAAAGACAGCACTCAAAATGTTGGACCCTGTATACCACTTAGGTATCCGGCTGGCACTTGGTGCATTCCGTACCAGCCCTGTCCAAAGCCTCTATGCAGAGTCCAATCAGTGGCCGCTGGACTATCAGCGCACATATCTAGAAGTCTCCTATGCAGTTAAAATTATGTCTCTGAAGCAGCACCCCTGCAAAGCACGTATGAATGATCTCTTCACTACTGAGTAAAACGCAAACCGTCCTTCTATGGCCGCACCGTTCCCAATGGCAATAAGACCTGTAGTAGAAAAGCTTTGAATTTGTTTCGATGAATTACAGGAAAGTGACCACGCTGAACACATTCCCCCTTGGCAGCAGTGTCCGGTCACTTGTGACTGGTCCTTCAAAGACCTCAAAAAGAAAAATATAATCAAGTTCATTATTTCAGCAACATTTCTTGGCCCTAGAGCACGAATATTCTGCAGCCGCATTCTTCTCTGATGGTTCAAAGTCTCGAGCATCTGTATCCTGTGCAGCCTACGGACAAAGCTTCTCCGACACCAGAACCCTGCATACACATACCAGCATTTTCACAGAGGAAGCCTGTGGTATCCTGCTTATAATACAGCGCATTATACAACACAAGATACCAATGTCTATAGCGTACACAGATTCTTTAAGTGTTGTCACCGCCCTTTCTTGTGGCAAGTACAGCAAGAAGCCCGCTTTCGACAAGCTCCTTAATGAAATCTGTGCAGCCTATAACCTAAAACTTTCCATTGTTATTTGCTGGGTGCCAAGGTCATTCTGAGATTGAGGGCAATGAAACAGTGGACCGGAATGCACGAGAAGCCGCTGATCGGCAAGCCATAGATATAACCACTGTTCCTGGTGTGGATATAAAACCTGTTGTACGTAGAGGATTATGCAACCACTGGCAAGAAGAATGGGACAAACAGGTCGACAACAAACTCCGCCTAGTAAAATCCCAACTGAGTAAAGTTATCCCACAAAAACGCAACAGATTCACTGAAGTCACTCTAACCCGGCTCAGAATGGGACACACTCATGCCACACATAAACATTTTTGACAGGCTCTGAACCACCTACATTTATACACTGTGGAGAGAGCCTAACCATTTTGCATATCCTCATTCAATGTCATGTGCTTCACCAAGCACGACTGACCCATTTGAGGGAGTTCTACCAGTATCATATCCCCTTTCATCTCGCGCTATTTTTATCACTTGATGCAGTGTTTGAAATTAAGAGACTTCTTCATTATCTTGGGAAAGTCAAATTTTTAACAATGATATAATTTCATCCTAGCCACCTTGCTGTGCCTCAAGTATGAGGTGCCACCTAGTGCAAAAAACACACGAACTGCGAAGGCTTTGACATCTGAGCCTTCGCAGTTCTCTCTGAGGCAGGGACTTCAGCCGTGAGGGTCTTGGACCTTGTTGACTCATTTATCGTCACAGATGATTATCGTCAACGAAATGATTTTAACAAAGTCACATTCTTTTTAAATGCACTGTGCTTTACATATTTCATAGGTATTCACTACACATCATTTGTTTTAATTTTTAGACTAATAACTTGAAACGAGACAATGCTTGTATTGGCGCTCTTTGGCCTTAGATGCCCCTGCGCCAATAAAACATAATAATAATAATAATAATAATAATAATAATAATAATAATAATAATAATAATAATAATAATAATAATAATAATAATAATAATAATAATAATAATAATAATAATAATAATAATATAGTGCTTAGACTGCGGCCACATTCCGATATTCAAAGGCGCGCAGTGAGCACCCTCTGTGATTTTTAATGGACACAAATTTAATTAACAGTCTTTAGTTCATATTGATATGTGTAAGAAACTGCCCCTTCGGCACAAGCACTGAAATGATATTCAAAAGGAGGAAGACCTTGCCACTATTTGTACGGACTCTATCCGCAATGTGATCACGATATATGAACTGGACTATGCCCATATATACTGCGCTCATTCATGCGATAGGAGTCCTATAATATATATATATATATATATATATATATATATATATATATATATATATATATAAATATATATATATATATAGGCAGGCATGGTGGTTGAGTGGCCGTAGCGTTGCATATAGTCTAGTAGATCCTCCGTGCGTGGTTTATTTCGACGTTTCGGCCTAGAGTCTGGCCTTCATCAGGAATAAAGATACAGTTTGTCGGTGCTCAGCTTTATACAATCTCAAATCAGAGGGCAAGGTAAGGAAAGAAAAAAAAGAAAAGGAAAGGATAGGAAAAAAAAGAAAAAAGAGAAAAATAATATACGGTGGACGCCCCTCGGGTGCCCCCCTTCCACTTTTCCCTCCACTCCCCCCATCTCTCTCCCCCTCTCCCCTTCACCTTTCTGATTTCAGCGGTCTGTGTATGTTTCCGTTCACTAGCGCATTCCTCCCGATCAGACGGCCCCTCCTGGCACTGGCGGTTCGGTGTGGGGCAAAAAAGAGCTTTTCAGGAAGTCCTAAGCCTTTAACTACTCGGGGTCCCGTAAACAATTCGTCGTAGAAGGACGGGGGCCGCGTATTGTGGCAGAGGCTGGTCAGTGGGCATTTTAGGAAGTTCTAAGCCTTTAACTACTCCGCGCCCTGTCAACATTTCGTCGTAAAAATAGGGGTGCCCCGTATTTCGGTAGGCTGTGCAAGCGCGTGCAATGCGAATTCCTGGCCCGCTTCTAAATTACGCGTGTCTTCGCATTGCACGCGCTTGCACAGCCTACCGCAATACGGGGCACCCCTATTTTTACGACGAAATGTTGACAGGGCGCGGAGTAGTTAAAGGCTTAGAACTTCCTAAAATGCCCGCTGACCAGCCTCTGCCACAATACGCGGCCCCCGTCCTTCTACGACGAATTGTTTACGGGACCCCGAGTAGTTAAAGGCTTAGGACTTCCTGAAAAGCTCTTTTTTGCCCCACACCGAACCGCCAGTGCCAGGAGGGGCCGTCTGATCGGGAGGAATGCGCTAGTGAACGGAAGTAGGAGTGACAGTCAGCGCCATCTATAAGCCAAACAACGAGTGTGAAAACACTCTTATTCGCATGTTTGGCGTCACGTAGCACGTGAACTTATTATGAGCGGGCAGCTGATTAATTGTCCCTCTTATACAACCTAAACACACCAAGTCTGCCAGTAGATGGCGCTGACTGTCACTCCTACTTCTAAATTCACATATAAACCCCAAAAAGTGGATGGAGGGACGGCCGCTGTGATACCTCAGTGGTTAGAGCATCGAACGCGTTATTCGAAGGTCGTAGGTTCGATTCCTGCTCACAGCTGGTATTTTTTTCATCCACTTTTCTTTCTTCTTTCTTCATATTTACATTCCATTGGTTCTAATAACTTCCCCTGTACATTCCTTGGCATAACTGTCTGTTATATCTCATTAATATTGTGTTAAAACACGGAAATACGAGCCCTTAGGTATAGACTTCTCTCCCTTATTTCATTGAACGAGGGTCTCGTATTGGCAGACTTGGTGTGTTTAGGTTGTATAAAAGGGACAATTAATCAGCTGCCCGCTCATAATAAGTTCACGTGCTACGTGACGCCAAACATGCGAATAAGAGTGTTTTCACACTCGTTGTTTGGCTTATAGATGGCACTGGCTGTCACTCCTACTTCTAAATTCACATATAAACCCCGAAAAGTGGATGGAGGGACGGCCGCTGTGATAGCTCAGTGGTTAGAGCATCGAACGCGTTATTTGAAGGTCGTAGGTTCGATTCCTGCTCACAGCTGGTAATTTTTTCATCCACTTTTCTTTCTTCTTTCTTCTTATTTACATTCCATTGGTTCTAATAACTTCCCTGTACATTTCGTGGCATAACTGTCTGATATATCTCATTAATATTGTGTTAAAACACGGAAATACGAGCCCTTAGGTATACACTTCTCTCCCTTATTTCATTGAACGAGGGTCTCGTACTGGCAGACTTGGTGTGTTTAGGTTGTATAAGAGGGACAATTAATCAGCTGCCCGCTCATAATAAGTTCACGTGCTACGTGACGCCAAACATGCGAATAAGAGTGTTTTCACACTCGTTGTTTGTCTGCCCATGGCTGGTTATTTTTTCATCCACTTTTCTTTCTTCTTATTTACATTCCATTGGTTCTAATAACTTCCCCTGTACATTCCTTGACATTACTGTCTGTTAGATCTCATATATATATATATATATATATATATAAATATATATATATATATATATATATATATATATATATTGTACAATTATTTTTTTCTGCGTTTATTCTCAATTTTTCATATTTTTGTGTTTATCTTGTACGTTACTGTGTTGATGTTGGAATAGCCAGTTCTAACGTAGCCTACCTTCAATGCTTTGCTTGTGTCCAGCGTACAAGCGCAATCATTGATTGCACATCTGGCCTCCTCCGTGCCATCTCGTATAACGGGACGACCATTCCTGTAAAACAGTCGTTCTACTGGTACACCGCTTTCCCGGGTAACAACACCATGTTCGTGAATCGTGCTTCTGGTGCCTACATCTTCCGACCTCTTAAACAGGAACCGTTACCGGTAGCAGAGAAAGCCGAGCTGGTCTACATTGAAGTGAGTATCTTTTGTTTCTTTTTTTATTAGAATGGAAAATAAACAAGACTTAATGACACATCATAATGGAAAGGCAGCACAACACACATAAACAGAGGAAAGAAGGTGCACAAAACAGTGCTTAACTCACCACTAAGTCTTTTACTTCAGAAATGACACCTATAACAACCCCTGTAAGCTTGCCGTATGCACAAACTGAAGGAACACCCAAATCATTGTATTTCAACGAAACGCCTAGTGAACACAAAAACAGTGTACTTGATTGTGAATATAAATTTTTAAACCACTACATGGGACTTAGATGTACAGGGTTGTCCATTCCAGTTTCAAACACGGCGCAGGGTAGATGCGTGAAATGACCGCACTCCATAGCACGCCAGCGCACATGGTGTGACTGCACATCGAAGCTAATCTGAGCATAAGTATGGACTTTGCCCGATTTCTTCTGAAGCACTCAAGCATCATGCTTGCATTGCTGCGAAACCTGCCTAGCTGTCAGCATGTCATTATCGACTGACTGCACCACGACGCCATTGCACGAAAGTGTGCTTTGCTTGCCGCATTAGTTGTGCAGTTTTTGGCGTAATATGTGAATAGTTTTACCCTTTCGCAGCCACAATCTTTATTAATTGTATGCATCTTTAGAAATTTCTCAGAAGTGCTTTGATTTTGCAATTTAACACCGCATTACAACTCTGCATATAAGTGAGACGTATAAAATGGCTATGGATAATTTTGACCACCTTTGCTTATGTAGCATGAGCTGGCGTTATGCAGCGCTGCCACATGCTTGAACATCTCTTGCATGAAAATTCAGCCAGACCACCAGAGTTTCAGTCTTGCAACATTGGTCTCGATGTATGTTCAGTCCATTTATTCTGAAATATTACGAATAATTCATTCTTCAGATAAGCATTTACGAAACGAGTTTTATGCAAAGATAGAAAGGATGAAAAATCGAGAGGAGGAAGTTTGCCGTGGATCCCTTCTTTCCGAATTCGCATGCAAGCAGAATGCACTCGTGCCACTTAGGTGGTCTGACTGACTTCTAACTAAGATGAAACTTGATCGGCACAAATGAAAGGAATTTTTTCATTGCACATTTTGTATAAAAAACAGTCATACAAGTAAAGGGAAAGTGTCAATCTATAAAAGCAGCTTTATTTAAAACTCACTTATGGACACAATGAGCAAACATTGAACCCAGAATATCTGAACCAATGCGATAATTATCAACAATCACGAGTAGGACACGTCGTATCCTACCCCATCACGTTTGTTATGATGGCGCACATAGCTTTCTTACAGAACTTGAGTACCAAACGAGAGTGAAGTTCAGAGGCACAGAGAGCCTTGAAGCGATCAGAAGTTTTTCAAGAAAGAACATCACAAGAGACAGTATTTCAGCAAGTTCACTTGTACTCGTCAGTGCAAAAGCGTTACTTTGATGAGAAAAAGTTCATTCGTTAAAACGTTGGCCCAAGCAACGTTCCTTGTAATGATTTTAGGAAGTAATCAGTCCATCACGTCTATTAGAGCTACAGTACTAAAAGTAAGGTTACACCCATCGTTTTCCTTTCCATCGCTCCCTGAATCGTGCTCACTTTAAACTGAACCTTCTTTGTAAGCTTCCAGGTTTCTGCTCCGTAGGTAAGGAGTGGCCAGATAAAGCTGTTATATACCTAACTCTTGAGGGATAGTGGCAGATCACCATTCATGATTTGAGAATGCTTGCCGAATGTGATCTACCTCGTCCTTATTCTACAGTAATTTCACTTTCATTGTTTGGCTCCGCACTGATCATCTGTCCCTAAGTAGACATATCCCTTTACAATTTCTAGTGTCTCTCCCCTTATCGCAAAACGCTGTTTTCTGCCGAGGCTGTTTCACATTACTTTAATTTTGTGCATAATAATTTTCATATCTACTCTTCTGCTTTTCATGTTCAGTCAAGTAATCATGACCTGTTATTCGCCCCTAATATACCCATCCAGGCAATGTCATCAGCGACTTGCAGGTTACTAAGATACTCTCGATTGACTCTTATCCTTAACTCTTCCTAATTTAGGTTGCTGAAAGCCTCCTGTAAACATGCGGTCAATAGCATTGGAGATATTGTGTCTCCCTGCCGTACACCCTTTTTTTATTGTGATTTTGTAGCATTTTTTATGGAGATCAATGATGGCTGTGGATCAACTGTAGATTTCTTCCAGTATGTTTATGTAGAGTTCTTTGATGCCGTGATTTCGTAATGCCTGCAGTGTACTGCTGATGTCCCGACTGAGTCAAACGCTTTCTTTTAATCTATGAAGGCTATATATAGCAGCTAGTTGTACTTTGATGCATTTTTCTATCACCTGATTTTTAGTACGAATATGGTCTATTGTGGATTAGCTTCTACGAAACCTTGCTAGATCCTTTGGTTGATTTATCTCGAATGTCGCCTGAATTTATATGTGGGGTTTAACGTCCCAAAACTACGATATGAATTTGAGAGATGCCAATGTCACCTAAATTCTATTAGCAATTATTTTTGTGAATAGTTTCTACAGAAGTGACATTAAGCTGATTGGTCTGTAACTTTTCAAATACTTCACGTCTATTTTTTTATTTGATTAAGATGTTGTTGGCGTCCTTCTAATTGAGATTCTGGTACTCTTCTCATCAAAATACACTTGGTATAAAAGGTGGTGAGTTTTTCTAACACAATTTTTTTGCCATCTTTCAAGAGGTCCTTTGTTATGTTATCCTCACCAGTGGATTTGCTTTTTTGCATTTCTTTTAGCGCTTTCGTTACTTCACCAGTCGTTAGTGGTAAGATGTCGAATCCCTCTGGGCTATTATTGCATCTTACATCATCCTGGTTGTCTCGGCTTCTGTACAGCTCTCTGTAGCACTCTTTTGCCACCTCAACTATCCTATCCATATTGATTATGACATTGCATTCCTTGTCCCTTAATGTATACATCCAATTTTTGCCTATGCACAAGTATGCCTTGGCAACTTTTAGGCTTTGCCCCTTTTTACAGCCTGCTCAATTCCCTCCATTTTATATTATCTGATGTCGGCTGCCTTGCACCTGTTGAATAACTTCGAAAGCTCCACTAGCTCTATATTCTTGGTCGCATTTGAAGCTTTCATGGTTTGTCGTCTCTTAATGAGGGTTTTCTCTTCTACCGATATAATATGCCAGTGCCCTGTCAAGTGACTGTACTTCTGACTTCCATTGCGCACTCTTAGGTGATACTAGTAAGATTACCATTCATTGTGTTATTGCTAACGTTGGTTACTGTGTTATTGCTAACGTTGGTTACCTCGTTTAAAGCCTCGAATCTGTTCTGAAGTGAAACTCTGAAATCCAACACTTTCCCTCTTACCACTAGCTCATTAATTGGCTTCTCGCGTATCAGTTTATGCGTGTTCTTTCTTAAATTTAGTTGAATACGAGGTTCTAAGGTCCCTGCATTGAATCTGGCCACTACTTCTACATCCTGTGCAACGTCTAGGTGTGCACACAGAATGAAGTCTATTTAATTTTTAGTTTTGCCATTAGGACTTTGCTACGTGCACATATTGTTAGCTCGTTTTCTGACGAAGGTATTCAAGATCCATAAGTCATGTCCTGCGTACTCTACTAATAATTCTCTTCTGGAATTTAGAGAGCTGATGCCATATTCCCCCTGGGCACGGTCTCCGGCCTGTTTCTTCCCTACTTTGGCATTAAAGTTGCCCATCAGAATAGTATACTGTGTCTAAATATTATGAATCTTTTAGACTCTTCAGATAAGCATTTAAGAAATGGGTTTCCTGCACCAATAGATTGTGCAAGTTTCATGCAAGACGATTGTCCTGTCCTAGTCAGGGGGCCAAAACTCCCTATGCGATGAAAAGGAAAAAAATAGGTGTAACCTTAAGAGACAAGAAGAGAGCAGAGTGGGTCAGAAAACAAGCGGAAGTTAAAGATACCAGAGTTGAAATCAAAAAGAGGAAATGGACATGGGCCTGGTATGTAGGCAGGATAACCGCTGGTCATTGAGTGTAACTGAGCGGATTCCCAGAGAAGGCAAACGCATGAAGGGGAGACAGAAAGTTAGGTGGACCGATTAGATTTAAAAGTTCGCAGGCATAATGTGGCAGGAGAAAGCACAAGACCGGGGTCGATTGGCAGATCATGGGAGAAGCCTTTGCCCTGCAATGGGCTTAGTCAGGTTGATGACGATGATGATTACAAGTAAAGACCGAAAACCCAGCTACAAGAATTTTATGTACAGGAAGGAGCCTATAACTACTTGACATCATTCGAGCTACATGCTTAAAGTAAAAGAAGCAAAAACTATGTCGCCTAGCCAACACGAATTCAAGGCTTTCATCAAATGCATTTTGCCGAGAGCAGTTGGCTGCTATCTTGGCCAATTAGTCTAGTGACACTACACTTCTCTCAGTTCAATCAAGCTTGCAGAGAACAGGGTTTACTCGTGCAAAATCAATACCTCCCCTGCTTAAATAATCGGTTGAAATACTTGTGCTCACCTGTTGCCACTAGGAAACCTGAAAAAGCTTTGCGGAACTGGAAACCCCCAGGTTACCACAATGTATAGCCGCAAAAAACAAGTCTTGCCCGATTCAGCCATCGTTATTGAATGCATGGTTGACTTGCTCGGCGTAGCTCCCTGCGGCTTCCGATCCCTGCCCGCCATAACTTGCTGTCTCTATATTCTCCATAGTTGGCACGCTGACCGAGCTAGATATCTGAGCGTGATCTAACTTGCAATATCGCTGAGCGAATGGTGATAAAGAGCAGTGACAAGCACTACGAACTCAAGTCAAATACTTCTCGCGCTTCGCTTGATTTAAAATTCACAATATAAGAAATAAAAAGAGACATATAAACAAACGCAAGTTGTTTAGAGTGGTATCGAAGTTTTTTCATTTGTAAAAACTTGTGAAAGCCAACAGATTATAACATGTACAACAACCTCACTACATTAACAAAATATTAG